CCCCTCTCCCCCTCACCCATGTCCTCCTGGATCCGCCAATGTCTCCTTAGTTTTATCGCTTTATTAGAGGAAATCACTAGTCTTCCAGTCTTTTTATTTGCATTGCTTCCTAGCTTTTAGCGATCCCATCCATGCAGCTTCACAGCGTAGCCCATGTGAAAGAAAATTTCCAGTAATTAGTTTTGCAAGGATTTTCTAAAAACGCCAATCTTTGTGGAATTGTAAACCAATTCAAAAAAGTTATAAGACATCGATTTGTAACACACACTTTATTGGTCTTTCTTGTGTTCTAGCTTCCTTGGGCCTCGCTGTGAACCGACCAAAGTTATGCGTGTATACAACGCAGATGGACAGGCATCGGATCGTTGGATTGCTGAGTTTAATTCGTTTGATCTGTGTGAAAAAGCCTATCATATACGAGGCAAAATTGGTGAACGCCCAGTACGAAGCAGAAGGTTTGCTTCATGGTCTTTTAATTTCATTCTTCCAACGGATAATTGCCCCTGGCACTTTCCTGTCTTCAGCACCTTTTTGAGCGTCTTCGCCGCTCACAGAAAGTGAATATTGAGGATGATTTTCACTTGATTTTTTTGATTTTTATTCTGTACTTTTAGAATTCTTGAGGACTTTTTGGGATATTTCAGTTTTCTAGGCCGAAAATTTTTTAGTTTCACTACCTTTTTTCTTTGTAAATTACCATATTTTAGAATAACAAATGAGATTGCTGATGAGTTGCTTGCAATACCCGATAAATTTGGACGTCAGAGAAAAGAGGAGTACGAACGTAAGCAAGCCCACACGGATCCGTCAACCATTACACCACTTCTGGATGTAAACACATCGTCAAGTCGACCAGGTGAACCAATGATGGGACCGAATTTCCATAATCCTGTCAGGGGTCAGCTTGTTTTTTCATGCCTGTTTTGGTAGAAATTTGTATTTGTTTTGATTTTGGATACATATGTGCATGCCCAGCGTATAAAATATCTCTGTAATATTATCAGCGTGGCGAAGCAATTCTCTTTGCCTGAGCAGTTTTGCCGTATACGTGTACTTCACTGAAATTGTACAAAATCAGTGGATTTTCGTGGAAAGTTCTAGCATTTCCCAATCCGTCTAGAATGTTTGATATAGGATTGTTGTACAATTCGTTTATTTTTTGATTTAATCTAAACGTTTAGTTTAAAAACTCGCTTCTGCTTTTCTGTCCGTTTGTGTCAAAAAAACCGGCAGAATTACTTTCAGTTACGAATGTTCGTTATTTTTTTTTTTAAAATTCTACTTTGTTGTCTAAAAAATATTCCCAGACAAGCGATAACGCTTTCCTCAGACTGGTTTCCTCACGCTTCTTAAGTAAATTAACCGAACTTTCGCGAAAATGCGCTTCAACAAAGAACTGAAACCTTCTGGACTGGTGTAAAAACAATTAGCAAAAACTGATGAACTGAAAATTGAAGGAGGCCGTGGTGGACGAGGACGTGGAGGATTGTATCGAGGTGCACTGCTGCAAGGAAGTTATGGCGGTGAACGTGAAGCCCCTATACCACCACCACTAGCACCACCATCTGCAGCGGCACTAGCAGCAGATAAACAGTCTTCCACTGCGATCAATGGAGTACCACCATCAACATCTGCAGTGGTGCCGCCACGTATGCCAACATTTCGTCCACGAACCGGCCTTCTTCCAAGTACTTTTTTTTTTCTACAAGCTGTATTTCTTGCAGCAGATTGAGGAAAAAAAAACATAGTGATCAAATAATGGCTTTTGGCATCTTTATTTGTCACTTCAATGGACATCTATTCGTTTACTTTCGTTACGAAGAAGTTTCGGTAAACATGTGCTGTGGTTCAAACAAGCCATGCTTAACCATACAAAATGCGTAATGGATTATCACCTAAATGAACATCTCTGGGTCACTCCTTAAAATCTACAAAAACACTCTTCCGCTATTTACTGCGTGGCGTATTTATGTGAAATTCAAGCAGTCATTAGCTTACCTCTCAAATAGCTTAAATGAGGGATAGCAGTAGTTGCCACTGGTGAAAGTACTGCTGATGAGGCGACAGATTTGTGTTGCTTTCAATTCTTCCAAAATTGGGGCATGTGGGAGTAGTTGTGCTAACTCTGTTTGTTCTCTCTCTGATTTATCTTTTTTTCGTATATCCCCGCATGCACAGTTCAGCCCATGTTTATAGCTAAGGGATGAAACAGAGACTGCATCGTAAGATGTCTTCTTACACATGATACTTAAGTCCAATCCCTCTATTTCGTATGTTTGAGAACGGAGGCTGTGGCGAAATAGAAGTTCAGGTCAGGTGAAGCTTGGGGATGTGTACGAAGCATTTTTATCGACAAAACATAAGATTCTTAATCTTTACTTGCTACCCCTAAATTTCATTATTTTTATCCATTACTTAAAAAGTCATTGGTTTTGGAGCTTTCTGGATCAGCGCTAATCCTAAATAATAAAATTTCAGCAGTTCGTCCACGTCCGCCCCTAATTTCGCCACCAACATTTTTTGGCAACACGACACCGTCCACAATACGACAGCGTGGTCCACCACCATCTGGCCATGGTCCACCACTACTTCGTGGCCCACGGCCAACTCTTTTCCCGCCCACCAATGGCCCGGCTGGACCAATTATACCCCCTCCAAGCGTGAAGGCTTGTCTGATGATTGAAAAAGTACCGCAGACGACGTCAGACACGGAGCTTGCTCAGCTGCTGCATCTCTCGCAAGCCAGCCAAGGTAGCGTTATCATCGTATCCTTGAAATCAAAAAGCCATGGATCACATTTGTTCGCAATAGTAAACATCATTCAGTCGTCCAGGAAGCGCTCCTTTATTAAGACAACCATAAAAAAGCAAGTGAAATACTATAAAATATATAAAGCATATTAAGTACTCAGCTTCTGCAGTTCTGGGGAGAGAGTACAGCGGCAAACTTCAAAAGATCATGGACTGCATCGTGACATGCTCACAAAATTTCAGCTTCCTAGCTAGATTGGCATGTTCGGAAAATAACATGCCACTTTCTTATACAAACATTTGGTGCTATTTTTTTAAGCATCCATAACATCCAAGTTAATAGATTGGTGCAGCGTACCGTTGTCTTCCTACTGTTCCTTCAGCATGCAGAAACAGTACATTGAATATTTTATTTTTGCATAATAAACTTATTTTAATTTGAAACTCAAAATTTCTTAGGGTTTTTGAGAGGGAAAAAGGATTTTATTTTTCAGCAACAATCCGTCGAGCCGCCGATGGCTTGATATACATTGAAATGAGTGGTATGGATGAAGCAACAAAGACAGTGCAACGCCACAGTGGTATGCGCATCGGTGATAGCATAATAGCAATAACAGCAATAACACGACAGCAGATGCAATTCGGCCTGGAAAAGAAAGCAGAAGCCGTATGTCATCTTTAATATGTTTCAGTTTTTTGAAATAGTTTGTTTCAAAAAGTAAAAAACTTCATAACCTTTTTTTGCTAAGTATCGCTAAATAAAAAATTTGACAATTTTTCGGAAAAAAATTAAATAAGAGGTAAAATTGGACATGTCCCGAACAGACGGTGAGTAGTAGCTGGAAATATGCAATTCGGGATCCGAAGGCCTGATATAGCTGCGCCGGACGTTTAGGGAGCATTCAGTGGGGCTATTTTTTAAATAATCCATTAATTAACTGACTAAATATAACTAGTAAATAAACAAAAGAGTATAAATATGCAACGTTAACCAATTAGTCATAATTTTAATTTTGGCTCAGTTTTTTCTTTCACAGTGTTTCATGGAAATCACAAAATATATCAAAATTCACACAAATATTTCCGATTTCTTTCGCACATACTTGTTATGTGCAATAGGTACAAATTACAGGCATGTGGTTTTTAGGTGAAAAAAAGCTTAGAATGGTTGCACCGGGCTGGGCACATCGCAGTAAATTTTTTGGATTTCTGCATCAACAGACTTGGTGTTCCTAACGATAATTTATAATTTTTACGCGTTTTGTGCTGTATAACAGCAGTACAAAACGCATATTGTCACGGGATTGTCTATGTGTGTGTGCCTGCAAATTTCAACTTGGGAACCACAAAAGCTAGAAAGCTGAAAATTTAGGGTAACGTCCCACACCCACGTGTGATCCTGCAAATTTGAATTCAGCCTTTCCGTACCCGAGGGTAACACGTACGGCCCCGTAAAAGTTTGGGCGGATAAAATTATTATCACGGGAGCGAGAGGGCTGAAATTTTATGGGGCATGTCCCCTGCCTACACGCGACCCAGAAAATTTAAATTCAGCTTCCTCCTGCCCGCGGGTAACATGCATGGCCCCGTGAAAATTTTTGACAGGTAAATTATTATCTCGGAAACCGCAGAATCTATGAAGCTGAAATTTTATGGGTATGTTCCTTGCCCACGCGTGACCTAGAAAATTAAAATTCAGCCTTCGCGTGTCCCTGTGAAAGTTTTAGCGGGTAAATTATTATCTCGGGAGCCACGGAATCAAGGAAACTGAAATTTTGTAGTAATGATCCCCCTCCCCCCTTCCCCACCTACGTACGATCTCTCAAATTCTAGTTCACTGTTTCTACGCTTGCGAATAACACTTACAGCCTCGTGAAAATTTGGATGGGGAAATTATTATCTCGGGAACCATAAAAGCCAGGAAGCTGAAATTTTATGGTATTGTCTTCTGTTCGCATACAATCCTGCGATTTTAAATTTTGCTTCCCGCACGTCCGAGTGCCATTTACGGCCCCGTGGAAGTTTCGGCGAGGAAAATCATTATCTCGAGGACCGCGGAAGTTGAGGGTCTCAAATTTTAGGGCTGATCTCCTCTCAAACGTACGACCTCGCAAATTTGGACTCAGCCTTCACGCACCCCTGGGTACCACGTGCAGCCCCGTGGAAGTTTTGAGAGAGGAATTATTATCTCGTGTGCGTGAAATTTTTTGTGCAAAATCCCGCAACTTAAGAACCAAATAACATTTTAACTATTTTTGCACAGACCAAAGTACACAACAGTGCAAATCATTAGCAGGCAGTAGTTCGGTGAACGAAATTGCACAAAACGCATGATCGCACCGGCTACACTGGTGCGCACCGCTATTGAGTCTGTGTTATAAGCCGAGCAATTATTTCAGGTGGAAACCTTAGAGCCGGAACTGATTGCATCAGTTGGTGAACCAGGCACGGTTATAAGTTGCCATGGTTTTCCAGCCAATGTTACGCTAACGGATGTGGCGCAGTTTTTTGACAAATACTCGCTGGTAGAGAGCTCAGTAAGAATAAAACTGGACGATAATGGTACACCGACTGGAGAATGCCTTTTGGCTGTAGGCTCACCACAAGTAACTCTTGTTTTCTGTTTAGTTTTTGGTTTTTTATACCGCTTGGAGTCGAAATAATTCTCATAATCCATACTCGACTGGAGCTAGAAGCACTCGAATGAAATGCGAATAGTAGCATTTTGCCAGCAGCGCCTGCTGATTGATAGCATTGTCGATGATTCACTTTTTCAAGCTCTGCATAAAAAGCAAAATACTTGGCCAACGCACCGACTGTCGGTGCGAAGATGCGTTTTTGCACAGTTCCCAACAGGCTTTTGTCGCTAACGGCATTATTTTTTCCGGCAGATGCTTCTAGTTAAAAGAATTGAGACTGACCACCGTCGGGAAACATCCGCTTAAGATTTCAGCCTTCTAATTTTCTGGTCTCTGAGCTTGCAATTTACCGTGACAAGTTTTCGCAGGCCCGTGCGTGAGAACCACGCATACCTGAGGGCTGAGTTTGAACACGTCAAATTCCACTGAACGGGGAGCATCCCCTTAAAATTTCAGCTTTCTAGCTTTTCTGGTTCCCGAGTTACCAATTTGCCAACCAAAAATTTTTGCGAGCTCGTACGTAGAACCACGTAAGCAGGAGCGTCCATTTTGGGGATAGAGGTCCATACATTTGTGTAGAGTAAATTCCAAAAGTTTCAGCCTTATAGCTTTTGTATGTCTCAAGATGAAAACTCGGTACAGATGCACTCACAAAAACGCGGACACAAACACTCACACACAGCCGCTTGACAGTTTTGGCATTTCATAGATGCAGAAAAAGCATAAAAAGGATCTTTGGCTTCTCAGCAAGCCTCGAACATGGTTTATCCATGAGTGAATTCAGACTAGTGGTTGGAATTTAGAAGTGAGCCTCATTCCCCAATACATCGACCTAGTTTAATAATGTGTAAGAGGTGATGTACATACATCGTGCAGATGGTCATTACGACCATCGGAAATACGCAGCCGAAGATCAAAGTCTTGACGTATGCGTTCGGCGTATGGGAGCATTCAGCACGGAACACCCACACTAATGTTACATTGCGTATATGGGATAGCCACATTGACAACATTTAGTTCTGTACTATTAAATGATCTTTTGTAATCGACGAATAAGATTTAAAAAGGGAGCTGATTCTTCCTCGCACGTTCAAGCAGCTGATTCAAAACGAAAATACGGTCGGTCATGCTAATAACTACTGGTAGCCTTGGTATTCTTAATACTTCTAAAATGTTTTTTTT